GCCTGTGAAGCGGCGGTCCCATTCAGAGAGGAGCAGGGCTGGGTAAAACCCCTCACCTACAGCCACGGAGGAAGTGGGAGGCTTTAGGAAAGGCCCTGACAGTGTGTTGATTGGACCTTTTCGTCAGTCTCACTGATCTAGTGTTTCTTGATCTGGGGAAGGAGCGGGGTAAAACGGTCTCCTCCTGTTTTGCCTGGCCACACAGACGGTGGAAAATAGCTCTGTAGTGGGTTTTGCTTGGCCGAGCTGCACTGTTTTATTTGGAGTCCACCTCTAAAGGATGAGCAGGCCATCTTGGCTGGAGTGGGCCCAAGGCTGCAGGAGATCACACAGGCGCTGCAATCCATGTGGCGGGTGCATAAACAGCAGCGAGTGTTTAACCCCTGCAGCAGGAGCCTCGTGCTTAGAGCTTCACGCTCTGAAACGACACATTAATTGTGCGATGTGAAGGCAGGAATCACACACAAATATACCTCCACTAATTGCTCTTTCTCTTTGAGTTTCACAAAAAAAAACTTCGGAACTCGTCCGAATTTAAGCAAAGCAAATTTATGCTCTATTGTACTTTATATTTTCCATGAGACTTTGCTAAAATGTCTATAATCACATCTAAATATTTTTTGGGGATGCATGGGAGTCTTTTGATTCTTCAGGTCTGGTTAAGTGCCAGTTTTTAAAAAAGTTGTATGTCAAAGGCTCAGATACAGAATGATATGTTGTAGTATTCAGTGATCTGAGCTACAGCAAAGATCAGATGTGATCTTTGCCTTTATTTTCTACCAATTCGGTAACTTAATAGCACAAACTCATTCTGTCTGTCAAATATCTGAACCAGTTTAGTACAATTCTAGAAAGTCCCAGAGAACTTTTCCAGTTGATTCTTTTATTATTATTATTATTATTTTGATTTGAAGCTCTGTTTCTTTTTAATATTGTCAAAAATAATTGGCTGTAAAAAGAACATTACTTTCACATCTTGAAAGTAATCTTCTGAGATAAAAAGAAAAAGTCCATCTGGATCAAAGTGCATTTAGCACAGCCAGAAAATTGCCTTAAAATTTACCTCTCTATGTGCATCCTACTCTCTATCTATGTGCTTCTCTCGCAGTCCTTGTCTCCCTTTTCACAAGGCCATGCTGTGACCGTGTGCTTTTTTGTGAAAGTCTCTGCTTATTTCCTTGATTTTGAACAGAAGCAAAACAAAAATGTGAAAAACATAAACATCAAAATTAAATGGACACAATTTAGTGTCACAAACAGATGAATCAACGAATACCGAATATGTAAGGCTCCTGCTTTACTAACCAGAAGATTCTGTTTTTACCGAATTACACAAAGAGAGTCATTAAGCATTAATTGCTCAGAAAACTCCAGGCTGGCTCTCGGAAGGTCTGTCTGCAGTGTGCATCCTGTCTCCACCATAGTGAAACCTGGGACAGACTTCAACTTTCTTAAACTGTTTTGACTTTGTGCTGTAAAGCCTCATGATTTCATTTGATCCCGCTGGTAAAAAAAAAAAAAAAAAGTTCTTGGCAGAAGGTGGCACCTTGGGTTATACCCACATCAAAGTCTGATATTAGTGCTTCATTAGCGCTTTGTAATTAATGTGTCAATTTTAAGCTGTAATAAATCCACTGCTCTCCATGGGCTGTCAAGAAAGCTGCGTAGAAAATCCTGTGTTCCTGCTGTCTGGCCTCATTAGCAGAATAAAGGCAGAGACATTTTGGCAGCAGGCTTGCAATTACGCCACAGCAGGGCTGTCCATCAGGATCCCAACATGTAACACGCTGGCTCTAATTTCCTCACTTTGCTTTCTCAGCTTGTAAATTTCCTATAGTTTATATAGCTGGCATGAAGTTGTGTCAGAGAAATGTATTTAATCGAAGTGTCCCCTCCCCACCCACCCACCACCTTGTCACTCCACTAATTTTATCATTTTATTTTTCACCTGATTTATGTGGTTTGAAGTCCTGCTAGAAGCAGCTTGTGAGTAAGAATGAGTTATTTTAAATTTAATGAGCCACCAAACAATATCTTGCAAAGCTATTTATAATAATAAGTATCAGTAAGGATTGGGTAAATGTTTCTGTATGTTATCTTGTTACAGTCATGTAGTTCTGTGCATTTTATTGGGATTTTTTTTTTTAATGATTGGTCAACACAACTCGTTGCATTACATGAAGTAAAAGATTTGTTCTTTTTTTTTTTTGCAAAACTTCTTAACCTGAATGTTGCGGCATGCATTTATCTGCATGTTTGATAAAACTACAGTACCTTTCGCTGCAGTTAAAGCTGAAAAGTGTTAAATGGTAAGATTTGACTTTGTGGAGACTGAAACGTGTCCCAACTCCTTTTCTCTTTTTCTTCCTTTTTTGGCATAAACACCTCAAGCTCGGTCGGAATGGATGAAGACGAGATGTGAACACCTTTCAAGTCTTGCCAGATGTGGGTTTTTAACTGGACCGTTTTACTAAATGAATATGCTTTGATCTAAACCATTACATTTTACCCCTGAATGGACATTTACTCTCCCGCAGCCTCCAACAGGTTTTCTTCCAAGATTGGCCTGGATTTTATGTGATATCTCCCGTTGCTTAATAATTTTGTACATTAAATGGCTTGATGAAAATTTGTTGCAGACTCTTAAGCTGCGTCAAGTGAGAAGTGTATCCAGAATTTGGCAATAGGAGTGTCTCTGATGCTATTTTGCCTGGAGGTGGATTTACAATGCTGAGACTCTGGGAGCTTTTCCATGCTGAAGCTGGCAAGCATTTAAAGAATAAATGCACTTTAAAACGCATTTTGAAACTTTCATGGAAAAAGCTAAAAGTGAAGCTCCCCTTCGCAGCAGGACAATATTCTAAACGTGTCTCAATATCCACAACTGATACACAGCAAGGCCACGTTACATATTCAGGTTTATACCATACAACCTCAATCATTTCACAGCAGCAGAAAACTTAACCCTGCCACTCCGTGTTACTGTCAATGACACATTGATGACTGTATTTCTATAGGCAGACACTAATAAAATTAAGGGTGTTGGAAAATTAAATTGGGTATTCAGAGTTGTTGAGGCACTGGCTTTGCCAATCTCAATATAAAACCTGTAAAACTGTTACAACCTGAGAAGTGTTTGTGCTGGCAGATTGACAGAGTTAAAAAGGAAAAAAAATAATAATAAAAGTGCCCTTTGGGACAGGCTGTGATGTGCCCACATTTTATTTGTGCCTCTGTAAAAAGTTCTGTCTGAAAGCCAGTAACTATACCGATGAGACGCATTTTAAAAAATGACATAAATTCACTTTTGATCTCAGTGAGTATGATGGCTGCCAAGCAAAAAAAATAAAAAATCAAAATAAAAAGAAACCCTGACTGCTCGCTCTTATTGGTTTTCCATCAGAGAGACATTTTAGGCTCATGTCCAAAGCTCTCGCCACCATCTGCATGGCAACACGTATTTCTGAGTTCATGCCGCTGTTCGAGAGAAAGCATTTCTTTGGTCTCTGCATGAAAGACGAATTCAAACTCGGACAGGCTCTGGGCTCAATTGAGACTTATTAATGGGTAATGTCAATGTTACAGTCAGCTACTGCTGGAAGAGAGGTTTTGGTTGGTGGATGCAATCTGGAGATTCCTCGGCTTCATTTAACCTGATCTGATCCCGTTTCGGCACAGGTCAGGAAAACAGTGGCTATAAAACCATTGACTCACAGGAGCTCATTTTTTATTTGTTTAGTTTCTCTTGATGTGCTATTTCACTGCATGTTGTGATAAATTGAGGGAACTGGCTGTATTAAAAAAGTCATTTGGAGGAAAAGACTTTCTGTTGGGGATTTTCTTACTTCCTAACTCACTGGAAGCTGGGAAGTGTGCCAGAAATGCTAAAAGTAGAGTGATCAGGAGAATTGAATCCCTACTGCAAACAGGACAAAGACAGAAAGAGATTAAAGACTGTTTAGAAAAATAACATTTCTGGATGGGGACAATAATTCCACTTTACTTAGATTGTTTATATTTGGAGATGTGAGGTTCACTCCGAGGTTGGACGTGAAATGCAATCTTTTTGTTTTTGGTTTGTATCATTTTACACAGTAGCCACTTCCCCGTGGATTTTTGTATGGCCAGAAATAATTTATAGTGATATTCCGGGGCAGCGATGAAAAGGCCTCTGTTTTTCCACCTTTACATACCCCAGACTCAGGAACTCAGTGAAGCTAGGAGTGAAAAGTGCTGAGATGATTGAAAAGATAAGGCAGAGTTTTGGTATGTCTCTGTGTCATTTTCCACATTCATTCATTTCTCTAATTTTGACTCTTGGGGATAGTGCAGCGAAATGTAATCCCTTGTATTTTCATGTGAGCTTTCTTTTACTCTCACTAAACTATCCACCACTCACTTTACTTGTGTAACCCATTGGAGTCCAGCCAGTAGTAGGCCTAGATGTAGAGTCATTCATAAGGGTTTTTTCTTTTTTTTTTTTTTTTTTTTTTTTTTGTAGTTTGTCTCAGCTTCAAGTGGAATCAGATTGAAAATAAGCATAAAGTATATGTGAATAGTTTTTGACTATTAATGAATATCGTCATCTCAGTTTCTTGTTTGTTTGGGGTTTTGTTGTTGTTGTTGTTTTGTTTTGTTTCCTAAACATTCAAATTTGTTCATGGTGCAATTTTTACCTACTTTTTATTCCTCTCAGAAGAGTATGCAGCGTGGATGTGGAGAGAGAGAAATAGGAGTGAAGAAAATTAAAAATAAAAAACTTTTCCTTAGACTCCCACTGAAGAGCAATAGCGCCCTCTGCTGTCCACCAGCTGTCTGAGAGCTTTCTCAGCCTTGCATCCTTTCGCATCTTTTTACGTTTGCCATTCTGTATCCACCTGACGCCGGCAGGACGCATCATCTCAATAAAAACCTTATCATCGCATTGCAACGTCTCAACGGTATCGCTAGGGGGCGTAAGCACAGCTGTAAAGTACATCGGAAGGACTCCGTTGCCATGGCGATGACGCTTATCAACGCAAAACGGTCGCATTCTAAGGGCATCCGCTACTTGCGCAGTTTATATTATTTAAGGTTAGTAATCGTTGTTTTTTCATCCCCTTCCTTTCTAATAGACGCCTTTGAAAATTCGTAGATGTATTTGTAATGAACATTACAAACTGGAAGATGTAAACAGAGTGTAAATGTTGAGCATGTTGCCAGTGTTTCCTCCGGCTTCCCATGGTGCATCGCTTTATTTTGTCTAGTAGCTCAGGGAGATCTGACAGGAAGACGGGCGAGCCGCCGGCAGCATCACCGCCATGACCTGCGAGGTGGACTGTTAGCCTGTTCGACCGCCGTTTGTCGCGCTTTGGCAGCTTGTCGACGGCCACGTACTTTCAGCTGAAAGGTGAGCCGACTTCATTGTTTGCGGTTTAACGTTGGGCGTCCTTTAGCTTTCTAGCTAGGCTACATCAATAAAGGCTTAATTCACCTGCTCCAGCAGAGGAATTGTTGCGGCAATTAAAACGTGACGATTAAACTGCGACAGTGCTGTCAGTGTGAGCTTGCTTTGCTCATTTAACGCTTCAGTCCCAGTTTTGTGCCGTCATGAGTGTTTGGAGTATTTGAAATATTTTTGTCTCAGTCAGTTTATGCACGCGCAATGGCGCGAGGCGTCAATAAACGTTGTGCCCTATTTAGTGGGTGGCGTCGCATTTTCAGAAACATCCAGAAAGCCAGTCTGCGTTGCTCATGACCGGCACCTTCGTTTTTGAGCGCAGCAATTGTTTGCGAGGGTAAGGTTTGTTGCTTCTGGCTGGTGACCAGCCTGCTTGCGGCTCCTTAAACTGGACAGCTCCTCCCTGAGTCGCAGCCCAGCACAACGCCGGCTGCAAGGACAGCCTTTCTGATGACCCCCACCAAATGCGGAGGTGACATCTTTGTATTGTTATGAAGCAGCACGGCTCCGATGCATTGTTTGACATCAAGAGAGAATGCCATAGCCTGACTGTTGCTGATTGAAAGTTTACGACTCTGCTTGAGGGAAGCGACGATCCCCTGGCTGCTGCTGTCTGGAGCAGCAGAGGCATTGTATTCAGGGTGCTGTCCGCAATGCAGGTGCTGAAATGTAAAGTGTCAGGGATGCCTGCCGACCTCCTGCCAGATACTTGTGCCATCACAGAGATGCAAGCAGTAATTGTTAGGGGACACACTCTCTCCTCTTGCACAATTATTTTGTTGCTGTTGTAATGCTCTGGTGTTTGGAACATGAGCAGGGCCGGCCCTAAATTGGATTTGGATTTGGGGTTCCTTCCTCCTGGACCCCAAATCCAGGAAAGAAGGACAGTTGGACAGATGGGTGGATGGATGGGTTGGTTGAATGTAGATATAAATAGGTTGCAGGTTGATTCTGTATAAAATTGACCAATGCACACACTGACCAAATAAAAATTGGATTGTTAACGTTAATAATACAAACGTATTTGTGTGTATGATTACTTACATTTAAAATGAATTCATATGAATCAAACATTCATTTAAACTTATCTATAAATTTGATGTGTTGAGATCCATGTACTGCATAAGAAGCAAAACACTGGAAGTTGTAATGAGCGTTTTACTGGTTCAAACTGCGAGAAACCCCACATGTGGCTATCAAGTAAATATGTGTTATAGCAGGTTTGGTCCTACAGTGAGTGACGTCCAGACACACGGCAGGAATGACACAGGAACACATTTCGCTCATGAACATTCAGATGCAGATGTGAAATCTGACTAAACTCCTCGAGATCACACGTGAGTTCAGAGCTAACAAAGATGACAACATGACGGTTTCTGAAATATTTTTAAACAGAGAAAATAAAACAAAAAGATGGTTCCCTGCCATGGTTTTATCACCTTGCTTTCTGATTGGCTTAAAGATCTTGCAGTGTGAACAAGGCAATGGTTTGCTTAAGCCGTGGACCAGATTTGAACAGAAACCTTTGTAAGTTTTCCAAAAATACAAAGCTCATTACAGATACAACAGATCAGGAGAGGCAGTATATTTCCCAGCGAAATCTGGTAGAATGTATTTCGAACATTGAGCTTGATTACGGGAAGTTGCTCCTAAGAACTTGTATTGGCTTAGTTACTTCCTAATGTTTCATGCTGCTGCGATTTATCTATAGTTTATTATTTAGAATCTCTTTTTGGGAAAATATTGATTAACACAGTCAGCACCAGCTGCAGGTATAAACTTGAATTTGTTACTGTGTTCTGCTGGTCAGCTGGATGAAAAAAGTCTCCAACAATTACCCTCGTTGTGAAGTCTAAAGAAGCAACACCCTTTACTAGTACTGCTTCAAAGTTTAGTCAGTGCTTATTCAATATTGTTGCAAATATCTGTGTAAAAGCCAAACTAACGATAAATGTTCAGCACTTAGATTTTGTTATGCTTCGTATTTATGCACAGACAGTGCATTTGGTTTGAGAACGTTACAGTAGGAGACTTGTGTTGGCTTAGGATAGTATCTTCTTCCTAATGTCTCCTGCTGCTGCAGCTCATGTATAATTCATCGTTCTTCATCTCAGTTTGAAAAAAACTCCGGATGGGTGTGTTTGTGCATAAAAAAAAAAAAAAAAAAAATCAAAAGAGACCCAAACATGATGTTTGATTAACTTCATTGAAAGGATGAAGTTAATCTTAATCCTCTTTTTTATCCGCCATGCTGCAGTGTGTTGCATGAGCTGCGTTGATAGTGAAGCTGTCTGAGGTCATGTCTTTGCGAGCGGAAAGCTTTCTGAGCTATTCTAGGAAAGAGCTGGGATGAGAGATATGCTTGAAGCGCCGGGTTTACCGGAAGGACTTCACATTACTCATCAATAATAGATTATCCCCTCAGCCTTTATGACACACCGCTGGCTGTGTTTGTTCTAAACAGTCTGGGTTTTTGGTGTTGGCACCGCCTCTTACATTTCCCCATGAAAATGAAAATGTTTGGGCATCCGCCGAAATGAGGGAGCCCGCTCAGTCAGGTGTCTTAGGATGAATTATTCATGTTGGTGACATGGTGATGTAAGAGTGAGAAGCTCTGGGATATTTAATTGAAGCTCTTTCCTGTATGCAGAGATAGGGTGTGGGGGGCAATACAGGGATCAATGTGCTGTTATCTCTTAGTCTGATGTTGGTGTCTCTCAGAGGGAGGAGATTGTTAGATTGATTGATTATGTCTCTTTGTGGCCTGAAGGGAGGGGCATGACAGGGAAGGAAGAGGAGTTTTTTGTTGTTGTTTTTTTTTTTCTTCAGGCTGATCTGCCGCGCCCAGTTTGAGCATCATATGCATCAGTGTGTGAAGCTTCGGTGTCTTTGGTAGTCATGGTATGGACGCTGGAGGGTACATTTCATCTAATGCTGAGTATGAATCTCAGTTTGTCTATAAAAATCTCTCCCAAATAGGGCTGCACGATGGATCTTAAATAGACCGTCATCCAAATAAGTCGCAAAAGACTGCTTGGAATGCAGAATTTGTTGGCGAGCATATTGTTATAAATTCACACTTTGCATGCCGATATGGTATTCAGCCTGTCGGATGGAGTCTCAGTGCAGCAGATGCTCTCATCTGACAGATTCTTAGGGGTGAGCATTTATTGTATCGTTTATCATGATACATTTCTTAGAAAGTTCTTGTTGTCATTTTATCATAATTACAAAATTGCCTCAAAATATTGGGATGAAACTTTAAGTATAGCGCACAGATTCCAGTTTCTTCCAGTTTTATAAAGATGTACATAAACATTCTGAAATAAATGTAGTTTTTATTGTAGTAGCATGTGGAGAAGTAACTCCTGGAGAGAAAAAAAAAAAAAGCTGTGGAGCTTCTTGATGCCCTTGTGGTTTGTAGGCTGAACTGTGACAAAGTTGGGTGTGGTGGCTGGCTTGACACTTTCTGTCTTTGTGGGTTTAAGGTTCCAGGTGTGGTGGGGATCCAAACAGATATCGCCATGGCCTCAGCAAACGTAACTCTGGAGAATCAGCTGCACAGTGCTCAGAAAAACCTGCTTTTTCTGCAGCAGGACCATGCTAACACACTAAAGGGGCTACATGCAGAAATCCGCCGATTACAGCAGCAATGCACAGGTGAGCGCATGCATAATCAGCTTCTTGGTTCTCTGGTAAGTCAGTATATTTCAGAGAATTTCAAACGCATAAAAGCTGAATTATTATGGCGGCAAACAATTCTTTAATGTCCAAAACCAAGCACAAAGTTCTCAATCCTCAAAGCTTAGTTTGTGGGGAGCAATTTGTCAGACAGATACTTTGTTCCATGTTTCAACCTCATCTTTTTTTTTCCACAGATTTGACATATGAGCTCACCGTGAGAAGCTCCGATCCATCAGGTAAGCCACTATTGTCCTGCTTTATGCAGTTATTGCTCAATCAAAGTGGATTTAGAACTCCGGAAGGATTTTTTTTTTAATTACGCTGGTTAATTTTGTAAAGAAAAACATGCATGTCTTTACTAGCTGAAATGAAATCATTCTTAATCATGGATTATATTTTAGATCATGTCAATAAGGATCCATCAAGTGACAATTTCATCCTAATCCACTTCATTTGCTATTGCCTCTCCTCTTTAAATCTGTGTCTGAGATTCACTGCTCTTTTGTCTTTAAGCTCCTTTAGGGCGTGAGCTTGTAGTTGTTTTAGATGCTAATTTAAAATGCTGATAATCTACTCCCAGTTGTAAAAACAATATCCTATTGCCATGGTTACACACATTCACAACTTGTCTGAAAATAATAACAAAAAAGTGCACAGCATCCAAAACCAGGCATTCCACATATTGGAAGTGTCAAATTTAGCTAAGGATTTAGCATTTTATAAGGAATAGTGTTGTCATGCTAGCTATACTCATCTGTGCTAATGACTGAATGAAGATGTCAAAGAGATTTTAATTGCCACTGCTCTGAACCATTAATGATCATACATATGAGGAAGACCAGAAAAAAAAAGTTTGCATGTTGTTGTTATTGCTGCTTATAGTCCAGGAGAAAGTGTGACTGGCTAAGATGGTAATCAGTGAATCAAAGCTTTTCGAAAAACTGGCGATTGTGAAATCTGAAGGAAAATGTTGCTATTAACAACATTCTATTTCAAATTAATTCAGTAGTCACTTTCATGTTAAAAAAAAAAAAAGTCAGATGAATTCATGTGTGATTTCAAAATGTTATGATGGCATCTAAGGGAGTGCTCCACTTTCCAACAGCAGCTCCAGAGTAAACTCTGCACCACAGAGAGCTACAAATGAATGTCACCTGCTGAAATAGCTTCCTCTGCCAGCTCTGGTCTTACCCAGGAAGCACTGCTCCGTCCTGTCTGACTCACTGCTGTTGATTACAGCTCCCCCAGCTGCCGCTTCCCTCTAAACCATAAAGTCACATCCCCGTCTGATTCACGCTCTGCTGGTGAAGGTGTCTTGAATATGAAGATCACGGTGTGACGATGTAGGCTTTTCGACAGAGCTGTGTTGGCTCAGCATTGCTAAAGCCTCCAATCTGACTCACCGTCATGTTAGTGTGGGACATCTCTTAGATTGGAGTGCAGGAAATGAGATTATCTGCTGCAGCGCTAATGCACAGCATCCAACCTGCTCGCTGCAGCTGCGCCAACTGGGCTGGACGAGCACCAGCCCCCCCTGGTGAAGGGAATATAATACTCTTGTTTCCAGCCATTCAATTTTTTAAATGCTAGACTGAGACCAGGGAATGAAAAGTGAGGTGCAAGTTTCTAAACTTTTGAATGTGAAACAACAGTAGGAAGATGTGATGTTTTGTTTTTTTTGTCATAACAACCGATTAATCAGTGGTAACAACTGAAAAAGTGCAGGGGACTTTTCTTCTACATGTGCAAATTCAAGAAAAGCGGGAGACATCTTATACAAAATGGTTTATGCAAAAAAAAACTTTTAAGTAGTTTTTTTTTTTTTTTTTTGCGTCACAGCTTTTATCTTACAAGTTGTGAATCAAGGGGTTAAATCAGAAGGGGTCGAAGGGATTTGTAAAAATTCAGCCGAGTTTCAGTGATGATGTTTTTCAGAAAAATTTAAATAAAATTTTAAAAAAAACTTTAAGGTGATTGGTCAGATTTTGTGGAAACGTTATGATAATTTGTAAAAAATAAAATAAAATAAAATCCAAGTCTACGCAAAATAGACTGGGAATAAGCCAGGCACAAAATTTGCGAATGATGACTGAATTCGCATTAGAAGTTGACTGTAATTTGCTGCCCAGACGGTACGGCATGTCGGTCGGCTGCAGTGAGGCGTTGCAGAGTCAGGTAGGAGCTGCAGTGATGGAGATGAGAGCCAGTAAAAGCTGTAATGTGAGACCAGAGCTCTCTGACCACTGCAAACGACTCTCCAAAGGATCCTGCTGTCTCTCTCGGTGCTGACAGACTGTCTGAGCTTAATGCCTCAGTGTTTAGTCTAAAGTGTGTGTTTCTTTTTTTCTTCTTCTCTATTATTTATTATTTATATCACACATTTAACAGCTGTGATGTTGCTCATTACTGTGTGTGCAGACAGCAGCGAGGAACGATGCAGGGAGCTGCAAAGGAGGTGTGAGGAGCTGGAGGCCCAACTTAAAAAGAAGGAGGAGGAGAACACAGAGCTGCTCCGGGACCTGGAGCAGAAGAACGCCATGATTTCGGTCCTGGAAAACACCATCAAAGAGCGGGAGAAGAAGTACCTGGAGGAGCTCAAGATGAAGAGCCACAAGCTGGCCGTGTTGTCTGGGGAGCTGGAGCAGAGGGCAAGCACCATCGCTTACCTCACCTCGCAGCTTCACGCCACGAAGAAGAAGCTTTTGGCCGGAAGTTCCTCCGAGGCGAGTCCCAACGTCAGTCCCATCAGCTCCTACAAGCCGACGCCTCCCCCCGCCAAGGACAGGCAGCCTGAAACGCCGCGTCGCCGGATGAAGAAGAGCCTCTCCCAGCCTCTTCACCCGGAGCTGACGGAGGTGTACCGCCTGGGCCCGGACGGCAGGCGGGTTGTCCTGCGAGAGCCGGTCGACGCCATGCCCGACCCGACCCCGTTCTTGCAGGCGGGCCGGGAGTCTCCCGACGCCCAGCAGGTGGTGCGTGAGCGCCCCACAGTGATCCCTCCCATCGCCTCCGACCGCTCCCCCATCCCTCCCCTGGGTGCCGCGGCCAGCCCCCGACACAGCCCCCGACACAGCCCGGCTCGGGAGCGCCAGCACAGGGCCCACGTGGGCGTGGCGCACCGCATCCCGCATGGCACCCCGGCCCTCGCCCCGCCGCAGGCCGAGCTGGAGACGCTGGCAGTGGACCAGGTCAACGAGGACAAGGTTCTGCAGAAGCGCTCGGAAGCCGATAGGACAGTTTAACACTGCAATGCTGCACCTGCGCATTAACACAGATGCACATCTAGGGCCAGATGCATAAAACTCTGGTTTTATGACTAAAAGGAGCGTGAGCACAAAGGCAAAAATGTGTTTATGCATTCTGTTTGCCAGATTTATAAAGAGTGCCTTGCAGAGGTATTCATACTGCTTGAACTTTTTTGGATTTGATCACGTCATAAACGCTAACTTCAGTGTGTTTTAGGTGAATTTCTGCTGCTAAAGCAGTGCATAACTTTAAAAAGGGAAGGAAAATGATACATGGCTTTTTAAAAGTGTTTTATAAACAATTTGAATAGTGAGGTTCATGCCATGAACCTCACCATTCCCCAAAAAACTCCCAATGAGTTTTTTTTTTTTGCACTATGCACATGCTTATACTTTGCTCAACCTTACGCTTTATTTTTAAGTCTTTGCAGCGTTTGACAGAGTAAAATTCTTATCACCACAGCTCTCCAAATACATATGCATGCAACGTTTTTGTTGTTTTTAGAAACCGACTATCATTTTCCTTCCCCTCACAATTTCTGTTGACCTATTGAATAAAATTCAATAAAATAAAATGTGATTTTAATGTTAAATGTAAAAAAGAGAAAAAGTTCTAGGCATATGAACACCTTTATCAGGCACTGCAGGATGTGCTTCTGTCACAACATTCAAATCATTTTGAAATTTTACACTTCCTCCATACTTTAACCCCATTTCAGGCTCAAAGTGTGGAGGAAGTGTGTTTAGTCTCGGCTGTGAGCCCATGAACACAACAAATCCTGATTTAAAACCTGTGACATATGCAACTCCACTTTCTAAGTTCAAAGCAACGAACCTCGGTGGAAGAAAAATAGAAACAGTATTGCACATGTGGGGCTTTAAAGCACACAAGCCTACATATCGTCCTCTGCAAGAAGCTAAAGCAGCGAATAATGGTTCTATTAAAGTCTTACCAAGGTCTTCCAACTCCTCCAGATGAGCCTGCTTGTTTCATTTTACCTCAAATTCTGTTTTTGTGACTTTATTTTATTATCTCTCACACTGCACATTGTTCTCACATACACGCAGATCCAATGTGTAGAGAAGGGTACATGCATTGTGTTTGCTTTTTGCATTATTTATGCATCTGACCCTAGCGTATACACACACACACACACACACACACACTGCGAGAACAGCGAAGAGCCTGAACCACTGTGCAGCCCGCTTTTTACGCAACACAGCAGTATAAACGTCATTTTGTGCTACTCCACGAGAACCTTTATGTTTTCTTCTTCTATGGTAGAAATGGACTACTGTAAAGCACGCCAAATGAGTTTTATTAACCTCCCAATTTGTTTTTGTTTTTTTTATCCTATTCACATCTTGACCTTTTTGCTTCGACCTGTCGGATCTGTTTTATGTGGTGCAAACAACCAATTCTCAGCCAAATATCTGCGTCAGTGCCTGCTTAACCGGCCGAGTCGTGCTCAAGCTGTGAAACGTAGTCATGGCTGGAAGTCACCTTTACATATGTGGAGTACAAAGGATGTAGCAGCAGTCAATAATATAGCAAGACGTTCAGCAGCGGCTTCGTAGGATAGAGGTGACGTAATCACACTGCTGCTCCGTACATATCTGTCTTTATTTGGTATCTGTATGCTCTCGTGACTGTAGGTAGAAGCTGCGATGTGTTTCCTTTGCTTCGTAGAAGGAAGCAGCACTGGACACATTTTAATGCTGTATGGATATATATATATATATATATATATATATATATATATATATATATATATAGATATATATATATATATATATATGGATATATATCGAGCGTGTCTGAGGGAAGATGGAGGTTTTCGTTTAGGTTTGAACAATATTCATTAATGCTTTTTGTCGTACAAGGGCATTTTTCAAACACTGCTGGATATTGTGATATTACCAACTGTACTTTTTAAGAGGCTGTCGATTTGTAATGAGTTTTTATTATTATTATTATTATTTATTTATTGTTAATGACCCAGCAGGGGAAAATAAAGAAAAACAACAACCCTGATGCACTCTGTACCTATAACACCGCCACAATAATGGTAATTAAATCTCTTAATAGCCTGCTTTTCACAATAAAATCACTTGCCATTAAAGGATATAAAATCATTATATTACTGCAGTGCTTTCGTTTTTGGTTTGGTTACTTGGTTCGAGTGAATGTCGCAAAAGCTGGAGGAAAGGTCACTTTACTGGGCCAGGTTTGTTTGTCAACAGCGGCGCCCCTGAGATGAGGTCAGGGGGAAATGTCACTAAAGTATTAAGTATTTTTGAATATTTATAATACATAGTGACTCATCTGAGGAGTTGTCATTTTGAACTCTGGGCCACCATTTGTGCTTCAGCAAGAACATAAACTGACATCTTGTCACACTATTACAGTCAGATGATTATTGGATCACCAAACTTAGTAATCAAAAGGAGAAATAACCCAAGACTGGATTTTTTATATTTTTTTAAAGAACAGAAGTTGCCATGGCGCAGAGGAGTCGCCTCAAAACTATTTTGTCGGACATTTTGAAACAATCAGAAGAGAAGAGGATTCACAATGTTGTCCAAGAGGTCAGTGTTGCTCGGATGAGTGTAGACCAACAGGGCTTTTTATCTTTTATTGATTTAACACAAATAAACCTTAAGACACGTGATTAAAATAAATTTTATTTTTTTTGACAAACATATTTGGTTAAACTCACTTTAGGCGTTCTTTTCCACCCTTCCATCTACATCTCAACAATAAACTTGGTTATGATAAATCATTTGGCATGACTTTCTGTTACACAGCTTCGTCTTTACACCTTAGAAGGCCACTTTCACACACTTTACACAACAGTCTATGACGAGCATCCACGTATAATCGATAAACACAGGACAAACCATGGGTGCGGTTCTCTTAACCGGTTTAAAAGCATTCCCGCTGGAGCCAAAGGATTATTCAAATTACGACAGCAAGCAAGTTAAAAAGTAGATCTGCACTATTTTCCAGAAAGTCCAGATCGGCATGCTTCCTCTGTACTTGTCTTTATTAAAGGAAGTAAAGTGCTTTGTTTTGACTTGGATGTCGACGAAAATCACTGAGCGGCCTCTGCTCTCCTCCCTGGTGATGTTGCCTTCTTCTGTGGAGATCCTGAAAGCAAAGACAGTTTACCGACGTGTCGTCTGGAACGGCTGAAAGACGAAAAGACCTGAAGGACTCTGAAGGTGCGCACCTGTTTCTGATAAGGTTAACCGATTAAGTTCTTCCTCTAGCGCCCCAGCGGGAACATGCAAGTGGCCGCGGGGTACATCAGGCAGAGAACTGAGGATCTGCTCACCGGTGGGACCCAGGCGGTTCGTTGGGACTGCAGGTAGACCTGATGTGTTCACATCTGGCTCTGACTCGTCCAGCAACGCTTTCAGCTCCTCCTCCAACTCGTCCATGTCTTCATCTACTGACAAGAAGCGTAGTATATCAAGCTCAGCACTCATTATTAGACTTATTGTGTAGAAGTGTTGGGGGAATGATTGCAAAAGGTATGCAAGTTTTTATTTTTTGCATAAAAAATAAAATCACCTGTTTCATAAATTTTTCAAATTTATGGAATTTCACAACTTGGTGGACTAGTATATTCTGCAAGTTATGCTTAAAAATACAAAACAGTACGTTACCGGCACATAAACAAAAAGAAAACGTAAAAAACGATGGCATTTATACTTGGGGAAGATCAGAAGTAAAAAACAAAGTCAGAACTAAACAAATGGAACAATACATCTAAGGAAACTAAAGAGACATAAATTGTGTCTTTTAAGAAAATATTAAATATATAATATGCTAAAATGAGACACATTGACTCAGAGTGCTGTGTCAATACAAGGAGAAGATCTTTTTCTGTTATTTTTCTTTTTTAATACACTAGTTTGTGTATTTAAAAAACACCAATAATAATCTTTGTTGTTTTGCAACAGTGATCATTATTGGTGGTTGACTGGTGCTTAATTTTACATGCGATAGATAGTAAATATACTTTTGAGAGAAACCTTTGTTTACATTTACATGTGACATGATCCGATTATGCTAAAAATAAAAAAAATAAGTAATAATAAAAAAGAAAATGAAACCAAGTAGGAACAGAATGACTTACCTGCAGCAGTTACACCACTGGAAATGGTTTGATTCACCTCATCTTGCGTGTCGCATAACTGTTAATATGGAACAGGAGCCCATAAAAAATGTGCACGAAAATCTAATAAATAACCTAAATATACAAATTCCTGTCTTAACGACGACTGCGTACGTCCTGGATCTGATCCACCAGGCTCTCGGCGCGCTCCACAGTCACATCTTTCAGCGACATCCTCAGAGCAGACACTCCGGCCTGGTAGGCCTGCATAACCTGCACACATCAGAACACACTCTTTAACCAGTGAAGGAAAATTCAGCTGCAGGAGACATGTGGACGTCTAAGATTTCAGGCCCTTCGTACCATCTTATCGGTTTGCGACTGGGCTATTCGTTCCAGGATTCCCCTGATGCTCTCCAGCTTGGCGAACAAGCCGTCTGCTCTCTTCTCCACTCTCTTCCGGCCTCTCAAACACCTCAGCGCCTGGGAGACAGAAATCCAACTTAAGTGGCGGCTGTGATTTCGAAGGTCGCATTTTAAAGTTTCTGTTCATAATGACCTGTGTTTTCTTCCCGTCTCGCAGCAGAATTCGTGCTTCCTCTTTGCATCTAGAAATCATTTTTAAGAGTGCAAGTTAGTAAAAAAGTAGAGATAAATTACTAATGGCTCTCTTGGACTAAAGTAATTCGCACTTCATATACAAGAACTAGATGTCTAACGGGAATGTTTATGTCTAACATCGACCTGTCCGCCTCCAGGCTCAGTTTCTGCACACGCTCTTCCAGTAGTTTCTCACTGCGCTGCAGCTGGTAGATCCCGATGTCTACGTCGCTCGCCGGAGACACACGATCCTGTCCCGGCTGGCAAAACTTCACAATCTGGAAAACAGAGGAAACCAGGTACGTCTTCATGAATCGTACAAACTACCTGTGTTGTATTTTAAAACTTTTTAATTGCCTTTGATTAGAGCTGCACAACATATGAAAAACAATGTTCTGTTCCCGCATAGAGCATGCGGCAACATGTTCCTCATACGATGAGGAACTGGCTAGATTGTAGTAAGTGTTAGCTCATCATTGAATGCTGCTCATTCAGACTGTTTGTTTTTGTTAATTATCTGCTGTAAAGAGTTCCTGGACGTAAATAGTTCCATTTTAAATCAGCAAGAAACTATTAACTAATTTGTTTAGCAGAGTAACAATAAAACCAGAAATATTGACCGTCTGTGTTCTGCTATCGACCTAAAACGGAAAGATAATAATCGCGTCACTGTGGCGACATTCTTGAATCATGTTTTCCCAACATCGCGCAGCTCCCAACAGTGATTATATTCTGTTTTACCTTCTCTCCCTCGTGCAAGGAAACTATGACCTGCTTGTCCTTCTGCAGCTGCAGCAGAGCCATGCACAGGGTGCTTTCATCAGCGCAGATGTTGGAGGAGAGCGTGCACAGCTCTTGAAAAGAGATGATGGAGCAGCTGGAAAAGTCACTGCTTCGGTAGACCTTCAGCAGTTCCGCGGCCTTCTCCTGAAAAAGAAGAAGAACGAAGTTGCATCGCCACGCCTCACGTCGAAATAGGAGACCGTCCGGTGCAGCTGCGTCTTACAACGAATCTGACTGTGCAGGAGATGCAGTGTCCTCATGAGAGTATTTCTTTAAAAAGTACTAAAACAACTCGGTTTTATTAGCAATTTATGCGAGAGCTCAACACACAACAAAAAATGTCATGCATTTGTATCCGGCTCATTTACTGATGACCCAAATAAAATCCAATGGGAGATGGGGACAGACTACACATGCATGCCACACTTTTCAGAGTTCTTTTTGTTTCTAGTTTGTGGTTGCAACGT